CCATACTTTTGAAGAAGAGCTTTTGTTTTTTTTTCATCCTCTATTGTTTATTTGATTTTTTAAATGCTCTTTCTAAAACATAAACACAAAAGACTACATATTGCATAAATAGGTATTTTAAAAAATAATAAAATGGCCCTGGCTGGTGTGGCTCAGCGGGTTGAGCCCCCAGCCTGCAAACCAAAAGGTCGCTGGTTGGATCCCAGTGAGGGCACAGGCCTGGGTCGCAGGCCAGGTTCCCAGCTAGGGGCATATGAGAGGCAACCAATCAATGTTTCTCTCTCTCTCTCCCCGCTCCTCTGAAAACAAATAAATAAAATCTTTAAAAAAAGAAACAATAAAATGAAAACTAGGGTTTCACTTTCAAAGTTATGAAATAAAGCATTACTGTTATTTGTAAGGCCTATCCCCAATGGTTTTGCCAATTTTTGGCTTTTAAACATATGTAGTCTTATGCTTATTGTATATAATTAAATTTATTTACTCAAATTCTGGTTTTTGAAACTTATCCATCCTGAGTATATAGCAGTAGTTCATTTTCATTGCTGTTTAGTACATCATTAGAAAGAATATAAAATTAGCCCTGACCAGTGTGGCTCAGTTGGTTGAACATCATCCCACAAAGTGAGAGACGGATGGCTGGATTCCCAGTCAGGGCACATGCCCGGGTTACAAGCAGTCCCTGGTTTGGGTGCATGCCAAAGGCAGCCAATCGATGTTTCTCTCGTACATCAGTGTTTCTCTCCCTCTCTTCCCTTCCCTTCCCCTCTCTCCAAAAATAAGTAAATAAAATCATTTAAAAAGGAAATAATATAAAGATTCATCAATATAATTTTTAAAAGATGATACTCATATACAGATTTCACTTATGTTGTGCTTCTTGAAACTAGAAGTAATTTGATACCATATTTGTGGGGATTGAATATATTATTGAAAGTAAAGTAAAAAATGTAAAGGCATTATTAGATTAACAATGATGAACTAATGCCCTTTAAAGATATTTTAAAATAAATGTTATATAAAAGAGTACCCAATAAAAACTGCAACATATAAAAAGGCATTTTTAAAGACTGGTGAATTATGGATTGATTATTTGAGTTACAAAATATCTCTTTTAATGGAGAACCCTTTGGGGCAACTTTAAGTATCTGATTATAAAACCTAGAGCGGTAAGCAACTCTAAATCAAAATATAACAAATTAATTTTTTAAAAATAATAATATAAGTTACTATCTATTGTAATCTGGAAAAGTTGTTTTGGTTCATTTTATAGTATACCCAAATTTTATTCATTGTATAAAAAGCTTATCATACAAATCATTAAATCCTGATAGAAAAGTCTAGAGCCAGAAGGAAGGTGAAAACCAAAGAGATTACTTAAGATTGTTTTACTTATTTTACTGTTGTTCAATTTAACAGGGGATATACCAGGTAGGCTTTCTAAAGTGACACTCTTTTAACAAAGAAAAAGAAGCTTAAGTAACTGAAATCTATGGAATGTCTGAAAAATAAAGACATTGTCTTGACTGAGCATAACAGGAAATTTTAATTCATAAATTTTTCTATGGACACTGCCCTCTGCAAAGTGAAAATATCACTTTCCAAATTCTTATCACCTCAAAGGTAAATTGTAGGATTTACCTCTCTGCATTCCCAGTGCTGAGATCATTCTACTAATTTCTTTCTAACAAACTCTTAGTAAGACCGGATTCTACTTAAATGAAAAGTATAATTAACCACAAGTCACCTCAGGTGCCATATATGGAATAACTGTCAAGGAAATTACGACAAGGCCGAAAAATGTGCTTTGTTTCAAAAGGTGTCATTCATAAGGTGTTCTCCTTTTCAAAAGGTTACTGATAATGCATTGATCTACATTTACCAAAACTTTGAATTCCTTAAGATTATGGGTTTAATATACACTAGTTCTCATCACTTCCTTTATTTGCCTTATGCTTTTTTTCACTAATGCAAAATATAATAGAAAGTATTGTGGTTTTTTTATTTTAAAAGATGAATATGTCAATCTTATTTTAAAAAGTCTGGTAAAGGACTCACATGACACATCAGTCTCCTTAATTAATGCTATAAAATCTGAAAAGGTAGAATGCCAATTTGTCAACATGGGTTTCAGGTGGAATTCATATAATCCAAGGGAAAAGCATGTTACGCCATAAACGAAAATTCTATTTTAGTTCCTTTTGAAGAAGATCCCTTTTAGCAAAATGAGAGATTAACTGTGTCCAAGTGTAACCTAAAGCAGGTCCAGCTGCCTGTCACCATGAAAGCCAAATACTCAGAGGCAGGTGCTGATGTAAAGGGAAGTGGTTTATTCAGGTGCCCGCCACCTGGAAGATGGGGGACTCACGTCTCAAAACCCATCTCTACACAGAAGCTTTTACAAAGAGGGAGAAGTGAAACAGAACAAAGATCAAGGAAGGGGGTTGAAAATTTCTCTACGGGCAGAGGAGCACGCTCCATTCTGATAAGGCACTAAGTGATGGTCCAGTGTGCGTCATTCTGGTTTACTCATCCTGGCTTCGTATCATCCCAGCCTCACTCAGGCCATCCTGGCTTCCTGTATCCCGACTCCAAGGTTGAAGGTCAGCAAATCTCTCAGAGCTGGTATGCCTGAAGGTTGGCGTCTGTATCTTTTGAAACCAGTTCCTAGAATTCTTATACAAATATGCTGTTCATCTATAAGCTACATATTAGTCAGAATCAGCATTTACAGAGACAATGTTAAAAAAATGGTGGGGTGGGTTAAAATTTCTCATTGTTACAATTTTCCATTGTTACACAAGTACATACTATTCATAATATATGGTAACAATACAATTCCTAAAGTAGATTTGATAAGATGGACATGATTAAACACATATTTAAAATTCCCCCCTTCCCTTTTTTTTTCTTTGTTTGGGTGAGGGCAAGGAGGATCATCAGAAATTGTAACAGTTTAAAGTAGTAAAAGGGTGCAGAGTCAGGAGAAAAGTACAAATGGAAAGACCCCTGGACCCCTGACACAGTTCAGCGGGAAGGCTAACATGTTAAAAGTCTCAGTATTGTGTTAAAGACTTGCTGTGAAGAGATTTCACTTCAAACATGGGATTGGTTTTGAGAGCTCCGCAAAGGTATCAATAAAATGAAAACTGGTTATAAAATGCTATGCTTGTACCATTAGGCTGAAAAGTTGGTAATTAAATGAGCCAAAAGGAAATGCAAATATAGTGTGCTCAGTAGAGGTCTTAATTTACCATCTGAACAGAAATTGAAGGTGTTTGTAAATGGAGGATTTTCAATGAAAGAAATTATTCTATATACACTCTCCAGTATTACCGTTTAAAAATCTCCAGACATTCTATGTAATCTAAACTTTAAAAATTATTTTTTAACTATATCTAAACGAATGTTATACACTAGAGCTGATGCTATCTCTAGATTTACAGGCACTTTCTTGCCTGGCCACTCCCCAATACCCCGGCGCCGCCGGGACAGCGCCTGAAGCGCCGCGCCCTGCCCTCCAGCGAATAGAAATCTTGGTAACGCAGAACTTCCGCAGCTTCTTCTCACCCTGTCCCCATTCCTTTCTCAGAGAAAACACAAAACACTAAATTTATGCTTTTAATCAAAAAAAAGCTGGAAACACTATCGATTACATCACAAAAGAACCACTTTGACAGCAGTTTCCATTTGTAAAGAGTTATATTACCGGCTCAGCTATTTTGGTGGAATAGTGGCCTGGCAGATCAACGCGCGCGTTTTACAACCTTTGTCCACAAATATATCTTAGATAATAACTATCAGTCCAATATTCATAACTCATTGATTCAAAGAGAGAACAAAGCTTGGATCCGGTCTCCCTGCTTGGAGATGGAGGAGGAGCAACAATCCAAAATCAGCCTAAACCCTAAGCCAAGCATGGCCTCTTGCTATCCGACCCCACGGATCCCCTGGGATGCAGAGAAGTCTGCGGTCTCCAGCCCCTTTCCATAGTACGTCCCCGATTGCATCCCTGGTCTCCACTGAAGTTCCGAGCGTAATAGCGCCGTCAGAGTTCCCGATTTTTCCCTTCATGTCTCCCAAATTCTAGAATTGTCCCTAACTTCCCCTCCAAGAGGATCTGGTCTTAGGTCGCAGGTTTCCCGCGCACAGGAGACCCCAAGATGGGCTCTGGGCTTGAGCAGTTCTCGCCGGAGCCCAACCTAAGACCCAGCCCCACGCCAGTCCCATCACCCTACCCATCCGGACTCCATCCTTTCTGCTTCACCCCAACTCACCCCTCAAACCAACGACCCCAACTTCAGTCCAAATCCAGCCTTCCCACCACCTCGCGCCCCAGGCACACTCCGCAACCCACATCACGTGGCTCTAGGAGGTGGACAGTATAAGCGAGCTGCTGAACAACCTTTGGGGAGACAAAACCTGCAAGCCGCTTCGCAGAGGTAACTCCTCGCCAGGACCCAGAAGCATGGCTCCAACGCCTACAAGCACAAATGTCCCCATTCCAGATGACCCTAGCATAGGGGACAGCCCTAGAACTCCATCTCAAGTCTTTATTTTGCTCTCCCTACGGGATCCTGGCATACCTAATCAAATACCCTTCCTCTCTCTCCACCCAAACACGCCCCAACCACCACCGCCAGCCTGGGAGCCAGGGAAGTAATGCGAACTTCAGCTACCACCCAGCAGCGAAGCCTTGCGTCCCGAGCGCATCGAACCGGGAGCGCGACCCGTGTAATTCAAGCAATCGAACGCCGTGTCCCAAACAAAAAGTTCAGTCCCCACTCTTCCTTTCAAAGCGCATTTTCTATCCTCACCCCTCCGGGCCGGAATGTGGGCTGGCCCTTACCTCGAACACAGAGCTAAAGAGCGGGTCATCACCTTCCGGTCTACTTCGCTCCCTAACACTCCCGCAGCGGGGACCAGGGCAGACCTACCCTCTTCCCCACCCCGGCTCCCGCCGGCTGCCTGCGCCTTGCGGGCTCGGGGCCCCGACTCACCACGAGGGTCAGCAGCAGGCTGCAGAGGGCTCCGCGCAGGGAGCTCAGAGATCCCGCGCCTGCCATCCCAGCGCGGGTCGGAAAGCCGAGAGCCAGAGCCCTGGAAGGTGCAGCAGTGCAGGAGGTATGTCGGTCACCTCAGCCTCTCTCAGCCTTAGTTTCCTGGGAGCCTGTTAGTTTCTGAGACGGGATTGGACCCAAGAGACGCCGAGTCGCCCCTCCTTGTTATTTCTCAAGTTTTATCACTGCAGGAGCCGCTGGGGAGGTGCCTGAGCCTGCTCATCCGCTTCCCAGTGGCAGCGCCAAGCGCTCGCTTCTCGGGGAAGCGGTCCCACGAGCGGGTCCCTGCTGGCTCTCCCACGCCCCTCCTCTCACCCCCGGGCGCTACCGCCCCGCCTTCTCTGGCGCGGTCCTTGCCGCCCAGATCGTCTCCGGCGTCCTCCCTGCCAACGCTGCACTTCTGGTTCCCACTGCAGAACTCAAATCCGCCTGCAGGGATCCCTGTCCTGACAGAGGCGCTCCTGGATGCCAGGAATACTGATCCTCCTCCAACTCCTAACGAAGTTCTGGAAAATGTCTCCTGGTTAACGCAAAGTATATGTATCCTTTCTAAATTTGACTAGCATGATAACGGAAAGAAAATTATCCTAAGTGTCATGAAGAAGCTGGCTTTTGGTATGCCAGAAACTAAAACCAAGTAAAAGAAATTCTGCGGACCATTTTTATCACCCAAAACATGAGTGATTACACTCAGAGCTGTGTCAATTTTTGTGGCCTTATATGAACCTTCTAAGAAAAAAAAACATGCTTTTCTTATATGTAAATTATTGACAGTAATTACTTGATTGTACTGAGATGCCATTTTTCAGCTTACAGTAGAAGGCAAATTTACTACACAAAACCTCTAAAGGAGGCTTACATATTCAATATTTGTCAACCAAGAAAAAAGGTTTTAACTTGTAATAAAGAATAAAAAGCACATACTTGAGCAAAACATTATTGCAGCCTGAGAGAAGCAGATTCAGGTAACAACGCAAAACAGTGCTCTGGAAAGAACAAGGTAAGGCCAGGTGTATGAAGGCAGAAACCACACAGTGGCATTCCTTCATGCAAGTGAAGCATTTCTGGCTAGGTTAACAGGGACTGGTTAGTTCCAATACCCAAAACCAGGGAGGTGAAAACTATAGGGAGGAGGTCAAGTCCATGTGTGTCCATCGTTGATCCAGGATGTTGATGGCTCAGCCTTGAGCTGAGTTTAACAGCAGGTGTAGCAACTTAACAGCTGTTGAGAACTGAGGCACAAGATGTGCATAGACCCTGACTCTCTTAACGATGCTTACGCCATTTTATTTGCTTTCATTATCTCATTCAGCAAACATGTGTCAGGGCCCAAAGTCACCCAGGCAATGTAAGGGGCTGGAGGAAAGGAAATATACAAACCCCATGTCCTGCCCAAAACAATTCCAGTTCTAAGAGGGAATAAAGACAATCGTCATGACCACTATGCTAAACTTTTTAATATACAGGTAGCTTGCAACACAAGGGGCATAGTCCTTTATGTCTCTCTAGGCTGAATTTTGTGGCTTTTAAATCATCTGCTGCTGCATTCAGACGGAGCTCCTTCTTAGATGTGTGGCTGCTCCTCAAAGTCCATGTGCAAGTTCCAAGGTCAGAGCCCTCAACTAGACCAGGTTCATCCAGAAGGTGCCATGACCTTCAGTCATCCCATTCTAGTCACTTCAGTGGGCTCATTGTCTAACTTCTTGGGCTTCCCTGAAACTCAAAGGCCTCAGCTCAGGATTCAGACATTAAGTTCAGCTTTTCTGTCCCATCTCTGAAATATTCAAGGCACCCATCAGAGATTCTGTCTCACCTCTGGAGGCCTCTGTGTGGAAGAGCTCTTCCACTCTCAAACAAAGCTTTCTGAATTTCTGCACTCCAACCATTGTCACCTCCCATGCTGCAAACCTTCACCTTCACCCACAACCAGAGGGAAAGCCTCTCAAAGCCCCCTCTGGCCCCAGCCAGCCTTCAGGAACACAGGAGGATTATATCTTTTCCGTAACAGAAGTGATACTGGGAACTAAACTGTGCTCCCTCAAACTCCAAAGTTGAAGCCTGAACCACCAATATGACTGCATTTGGAGACAGGGCCTATAAGAACGTAATCAAAGTTAAATGAGGTCATAATGGTGCAGTTCTGATCTGATGGGATTAGTGTCCTAATGACAAGAGACACCAGAGAACAAAGACCTGATCCACCACCCCCACCACCCCCATCCTCTGCTTCTTCCCACCCTCTGTCTCCTGTGTGGACACCTAGAGAAGGCAGCTGTCTTCAGTGGAGGGAGAAAGCTCTCATTAAAAAACAAATCACCCAGCACCTTGACTTTGGGCTGTCAGCCTCTGAACTGAGACGTAATCCTTGAGTAAGAGCCAACAGAAAAAAAGGAAAGGCAACAACAACAGCACTAGCAAATCTACAGAGTCTCACAAGGAGTTTCCAAGCAGCGGAAGCAAAAAGAAGTTCTGTCAGAACCAGCGGACAAAACTCCTGTGGCTAGGAATCTGGGTAGAAAAACAGGCCCGTGACAAACCAGGCAGAGTAGTGAAATTTTATCCTGGAAAACATGAAAGATCATCCACTCAATCTATAAAAAGGGTTACTAAGTCCAGTTACAGAATTACCACTCTTGGTGGGCTAATGAACTTGATTTCATAATGAACCTGTTTAAGCTTCAATGCTTTGCTACTTAAGCTTTGTTTTCCCCTAATACTTAAGGAATAAAACTCTTCAGAATGTTTGTCTTCATTCTAGTTCTCAGTAACTTTAAATGTATCTACTAGTGTGAGTCTGACCTGATTATTACTGTCCTCCAAGTGACTAAAACTCTAAGATAACTATCATCTGCCTGTTTTATCTGTTGTATAATTGAGATTAAGCCTACTGACAATATGCTGAGCTTTCATTTTTAGCCTTTAAAAAACAAAAGTTATCAAAACCTATTCTAGAAATACTGTAGTAAAGCACATTGGGGTATTTTTCATTTTTATTGCAAAATTCTAAGTACAGTATAAATACTGAATAGTAGCTGGATATAGTATTAGTAATTATCTTAAAATTTCCTGTGTTGTAGAATGTACTTGTCCATCATGAGAATATTAGTCTAAGTCTTAATAAAAAGCAGCACATTTTTATAATTTAGAGAAGACTCTTTATAGGCAGTCACAATTATCACATAAATATGACTTGGAGATAAGTTTAAATGTTTTTATTTTCCTGTGTTTTATTATTATATTAAATAATAATTTTAAATGAGTTTGTTGCAAATTTATTTAAAATATGAGCTTTAGTTTGAATATAGTTAAACCTGGAATTAATTTTAAATCATTATGGGGCATCATAAGGCATATAAAAGTTTTTTCTGAAATGTCTGTATTTTAATACCCTATCCCCCAAAATACAAAGCCTTTTGATGCCACTAATTATATTTAAAAATCAGAGATAAAAAACTTATTTGCCCTTGTTATTTTCTTAGTTTGAAGGGCAAGAGCAACAATAATAAAAGATAAAAAATGGGAAGTGATTTTATGCAAAGGTACAAAACTTCAGGAATCCAGATGAACTGTAAAATCCCCAGTAGAAAGCAAAGGAGATCATGAAGAGTTCTCTGTACCTAGGAGGAAGCTCTGGCTTCCGAAAGGATAATGACCTTAGGCATCAGTTGCTGACTCCTGGCCCACTGAGCCAAGGTGCCTTACGCGAATGAGTGCCAATGTCAACAGGTGCTGATCTTACCCATTCACTCACCTCTGCGACTTACATGCGCAGTGATATGGCAAGTGTGAGTCTGCTCCAGCACACCGAAGAAATACAACCAGAGCAACTGTATGATGTTTGGATCAATTTTCTAGTAACGAAAATGAAATATTATGAAAATAAGCTTAGAACCAAATAAAAGACTGGTTTGAATAGTCCTTGTGACACAAAATGTGTTCTTATATGAGAAGTTGACTCAAAATCAATTTTAGAATATTTAGGGTAAGTAGAGTAATAAACAGTTATCGAACACATTACTTGGAATAACAGTGAGGAGCACTGCACAGATGTGAAATCAGATGCCAGAAGCCCCTGCAGATTTGAGAAATTAGTTGCCTTCAGTGCAAACGCACTTGCTCTTTTGGAGAGGGCTCTTCCCTTATGCGTGGCCTCAGTTCGCTCTTCCCAACCACTGCTTTCCTCCTCTCGGGACCTCCTCTGCTACTGCCACTCTGGTCTCCAGGAGGGACCCTGCTCTTCCTGTACCACCTTCCCAAAGTGTGACTAGGGGCCCTCCGCTAATATTCCAAAGCACCACTGAGAATAGCCATGACTTTCTGGTCATTTTAAAAGACCACCGAAAACTTGGAGATAACAGAATGTCGAAGTCAAGAGTAACCTACAATACTGCATTGCTGCCCAGAACAAAAGCCGCCCTAGAATCTCTGCCTTTATCCTCTCCTGTCTCCCCACAGGAAGCACCCTACCCAGGTCTACTTCCGCTCACTTGGAAATGGTCCAGACAACACAGAGAACCTCCAGTCAAGACCAAAATGACCCCTGGCCTCTCAGGGAAAAGAAGTTTCTCCTTCCTCCTTTTCTGGGCTAGGTCCTCAGTTCTCACGCTATAATTAATTTCTGCCCAGAGTGATTGGCAGAGAGACCATCCATTCCCTTCAGGAGAAAACTCATTCTCATCCACAGAGGTGTGGCCTTCCACTGTAACCTTGGTAACAATCATACCAAATTCAGACACATTTCTCAAATTTAGAATTATTCAACTGAAGTAACACTAGGCCACAGTCTAATCCACATAGGGTGTGTCAGGCTCAGAAAGGTTCCCGTGCAGTCTCTCCCTGTTAATTAGTGATTTCAGAACTGTCACTGTGGTTTTCCTCTTCCTCCCCTAACATCTTCTAGTGCCCTTACAAGTATTGTCTCTTCTGCCAACAGACCTTTTAAGCAGTTAGGAATGGACTCCAAGTGGCTTCTCAAGGGCTGGAAGAAATAGTGATGTCCACACCCACAACAAAAGGTCATTGTGTGAATGATAACTTCTCAAAAGCAGGATGACAAAGCCCTGACACAGGTTGAATTCTCAGTTCGTCTCATTTTGGAATCATCTCATAATCCTTCACTTCAGCTACCTTCAGATGAAAATCCCCTCCCACTGGGTGAGGCTGCTGCTTGTCCTGGATGTTCTCACGTCCCCAGGCGCGCATGTGTGCAGCTGTCTGTGCAGAGGGCACTGCTCAAGCACAATGGCTGCAGGTATGAGTGGGCTGACTTCCAGATCCCAGGTGTCATTTATCCCCACGTCATTCTCTGAGTCACTGCCTC